CGGTAAATGGGTCCTATAGCTGTCCTATCACCAGTCAATGGGTCCTTAGTTAGCGTATGTCCCTATCGGCCCAGGTCAAAATGGGTCCTTAGTTAGCGTAGTCCCATCGGCCCAGGTCAAAATGGGTCCTTAGTTAACGTATGTCCCTATCGGCCCAGGTCAAAATGGGTCCTTAGTTAGCGTATGTCCTATCGGCCCAGGTCAAAAGTATCCTACACAGGGAATAGAGTGCCATTTAGATACAGTTCTTGAGATTTTTTGTGGAATAACTTGTTCAACTTGGACCCATGTTCTCATTGGTAGAGGAATTTGATTAGAATGTTTGGAAGTAGCACTTCACAATGACATCGTTGAAGGAGGAAAATTAAGTATTGTTCTGAAGTGAGTAAGGTTTGGTTTGAAAGGTCAAAGCAGTTGAACAAACCTTTCTATATGTTTCCCTCACATACAGTATTGCAATTGTGTGGATTTCCTCAATAGCTTTGTCCTCTGACCTGCAAATATCCCATATTGACCCATTATATATTAATGTTTCATGTCCTTTACCGAAAACAAGATAATTTGTGTTCAGTTCTATTGTGTTATATGATATTGGTAATACAGAGATACATTCTGTTTTATGCTGAAACAAATATTCACTTGACAGTAGGGTACAATTAATTTGATTTGATTTGATTAGGAATACATTATTTTATAAATTATTTGATTTGAATTTTAAATGTTGCTTATAATATACCATAGGAGGTGGCCTCGATCATTCTTAAATGGAAGAAGTTTGGAACCACCAAGACTCTTCCTAAAGCTGGCCGTCTGGCCAACTGAGCAATCGGGGGAGAAGGGCCTTGGTTAGGGAGGTGACCAAGAACCCGATGGTCACTCTGACAGAGCTCCAGAGTTCCTCTGTGGAGATGGAGAACCTTCCAGAATGTCAACCATCTTTGCAGCAACTCCACCAATCAGGCCATTATGGTAGAGTGGCCAGATGGAAGCCACTCCTCAGTAAAAGGCACATGACAGCCCTCTTGGAGTTTGCCAAAAGACACCTAAATGACTCTTAGACCATGAGAAACAATATTCTCTGGTCTGATGAAACCAAGATTGAAGTCTTTGGCCTGAATGCGAAGTGTCACGTCTGGAGGTAACCTGGCACCATCCCTACGGTGAAGCATGGTGTGGCAGCATCATGCTGTGGGGATGTTTTTCAGCTGCAGGGACTGGGAGACTAATCAGGATTGAGGGAAAGATGAATGGAGCAAAGTACAGAGAGATCCTTGATGAAACCTGCTCAGAGCGCTCAGGACCTTAGACTGGGGGCGAAAGTTTACCTTCCAAACAGACAACGACCCTAAGCACACAGCCAATACAACGCAGGAGTAGCTTTCGGGACAAGTCTTTGCATGTCCGGACTTGAACCACGATCGAACATCTCTGGAGAGACTGAAATAGCTGTTCAGCGACGCTCCCCATCCAACCTGACAGAGCTTGAGAGGATCTGCAGAGAAGAATGGGAGAAAATCCCCAAATACAGGTGTGTCAAGCTTGTAGCATTATACCCAAGAAGACTCAAGGCTGTAATCGCTGCCAAAGGTGTTTCAACAAAGTACTCAGTAAAGGGTCTGAATACTTATGTAAATGTTATATTTCCGTTTTTATGTTTAATACATTGCAAACATTTCTAAAAAACCTGTTTTCACTTGTCATTGTGGGATAATGTGTATAGATTGATGAGTAAAACATTTTTTAGAAATTCATTTTAGAAAAGGCTGTAATGTAACAAAATGTGGAAAAGTCAAGGCACTGTATATTGTTGAATTGATTCTCTGTTTTGTGAGCTCATAGTCATTGCTAAGTGTATTGTTTTTCAATTTAAATGTTCTCATATTTTCCCTACACTAGTTTATAGTATACTAAAACTATACAAAAACTATGCTACATGTTTACAATAATACAATATCAAATCATTCACATTTAAAATGTAAAAACTTTGACACAGTGCAAGTGGTGCATACATATTCAAGAATTACTTATCATTGGCAGATTCTGTATTTTCAAATCAATCTGTAATTGTAAAATTACATACAATATGTATACATCCCTGGGAACCTCTGTCAAACGTTCTGAGAAGTTTTTAACCCATTTTACCCCTCTTAGAACATTCCTACTAATGTTCTAGGAATGCAGAAGTAACAAGAAATTGTTTGCTGGGTTTTCAGGGGAAAAGGAAGCTAGGTTAAAGATACTGTATCCCTGAAAACTGGATGTTAGCTGTTACAGGAGGGGGACGCAGTTCCGGAGCGACCCACTAGGTGTCAACCTCCGACAACCTTAGGCACCTCTCACTCACAGTCGGGGACTAATCATCATCCTATTGGTTGTCACCTGTGTCTATCGGTTCACCTGTGTAATTATGCCCTCACTTCCCTGTGTTCCCTTGCTCAGTTTTCTCTGCTAGTTTCTCTATGTCCAGCAGTACTACTCAGTGTCTGATCGGAGATCTATGTACAGGTACTTGAGAAGTGTTTCCCTGTTTCATTATTGTTTCAGTCTTAGGTAGTATTTCGTATTTTGGCTGTCAGCCGATTTTTGGAGACTTATTTGCTCCGCCTTTCTTTTATTGTGATAAGTCTGTTATTTTGTATTTTGGCTTCGGGACCACCAGTAAAGATCCTTGTTTTCACCATCTCGCCTACTGCCTACTGTATATCCTGCACCGCACCTGGGTCACACCTCACCCCAACCCTTACAGTTAGCGGTTTCTGCCAACCGCGCATAGCTGGTATCGTATATGAAGATTATGTCTTTGTTAAATGTTTTCATGAAGAAATGGAATGTTGTTTATGTTAGTATATGTTTTAGTGTAACGTCACATACCACAGACCGGAAGTGTGTTGTAGACAGGGGAGACTGGGGATGGCCAGAAGAGGGAGCATCATTGTTATAAATAGGGGGGAAAAACGAAGAAGAAAGTCAGAACGAGCAGCCATTCTGAGGCGTCACTCTCGGGTGTCATGTCACCTGTAACTTATGCTGTAACCTCGTGATTTTAATAAAAGCCTCTAACACGATGCAGCATAAACGGACTCTTTGTTGACAGCAATAAACTGGCCACCACTCATCCGATACGACATAATGGCGCCCAACGTGGGGCTGGTCTGCGCCTCTTCTTTGTTTCAGTCAACCGCCAAGCTAACTCGCTTTTAAGCATGGCCAAACAAGGGTGAGTTTTTCTTACCGCTTCGGAGTTTGTTAGATTGGATACGACTTGTGTACACTGGAGAGATGTACCATTACGACCTTGCCTCGGGTGGCGTTATTGCTGTTGACTAGAGTCTGTTAAAATATATTCCATTGGTAACGGTAGGCAATGGGAAATTTAGAGCATTAAACGGTAGGATTTAAGTATTGAAAGTGTACAATTAAGGCAGATATGCGCATTCATCTTTAGGGCACTGTACCGCTTAAGACCTCCAGGGGGGGCCATTTTAGATGGTTGGGCCGGCAAATCCGTTTGAACGATAGAATGGGCAGACGGTGGGTTTTTTAAAAGGAAAACTCTGATTAATGAGGTTTATCTGATTGTGATTATGATTCGACTTTCGTCCGACGGGATGTCTGATTGGGTCTGATTTCTCGGTGTAATGGTCATTAAGTCACGGTAGCAAAAAACGGTAGGATAAATATGTTTAAAGGGAATAAGGGCAGTGCAGGATATGTCTTTGTGTAGTTAGGCCGCAGTTAGCTAAAGGCTAAGGCTAATTCTAAATGCTTGATTATATGTTTCAGGCCACGTGGTACATCGTGGCTAAGGCTAATGCTGAATGCTAAATGTGTTTTGTGTCACAGTGTATCTAAGGCTAATGCTAAATGTGTTTTGTGTCACAGTGTACCTAAGGCTAAGGCTAATGCTAAATGCTAATTGTGTTGCGTGCTACATACTAACATATCCTTAGAGACCCCATTGCGATGGATTAAAGTCTCTTAAACTTGTCTCTGTGTGTAAGTCAGGTTATATGTTTTGTGAGCTCTGTTATGTGTAATTGTGTGAGTATAAGGTATAAAATAGTGAAGCTGTAGCGTAATGCTATCGTTCTATGGTGAAAAAGCATGGGGTTAAATGGAGGTGCGCATGGTGCATGATTTTACGGCGCTAAAACTACGACATGCGGTTGTGCTAAGCCTACAAAACACTGCATTATGGGTAAAGGTCATAGGTCCCATCTGGGGGCTGCAGGGGGAGACAGAGAAATGGACACAGACAAAGAGGAGAGATTTTAACACAAGTATTCTAGTTTTAAACTGCGGTTGGTTAAAGATGAAACTTGTTTTGTGACCTATTGAATTTATAAATTAAATATATGTTGACGGAGTATAATGAATTAAATTAAATGACGGATTAAAATAAAATAAAAATGTTTTTGAGCGATCTATTTAGTTCTGAGTTTAGTCTTAGAGTGAATAATGTAGAACGAATGAATATTGAATATGGTTGAAATAACTCAGTGATTGCATTAACTACTAAAATGTGATTCTGTGTCTCTGTTTTTTCTGTCATATGAGAGGAGCAATACGATACGACAGGAGAGAGGAGGGGCTAACGTGTGACTGACGTGCGTCACGTGACAAGGTGTGACGAGGCAGAGGATCAGATCAGGCTAGTTCACAAAATCATCCTAACAAAATATGTGATGTTATGACAATTTTACATAGGCTTGGCAAATGATTCATTAAAAATTGCATTTTGGAGGCTCTGTATCACTGGGGTTTGATGGGAGTTGTGTTGGGAATCAAGGACTGACATTATTCTGTAAATTTAAGATAATTAGGTGCCTATAGAGCAAGGGGGTTTATGGGAATTGTAGTATTGAAGGGTTAGAGGCTTTGTTTTTGGGGATTGCTTTGAAGTTGACTAACTTACTTGCATTTGATGGGTTGTGGTAAGATAGCCAACACTAATTGATAAATTGGTGACATAGAATATAGAAATAAAAAATTGGTTTTAAATTATTCATAATTTTTAATTGAGTTTTTAATTGGTTTTTTATTTTTAATTAAATGGTTTTTGAATAAGGCATTTAATTGAATTTTTTAATATTCATATTTTGATTGATTTATTTAAAAAAAAAAGTTGTTAAGGTTGTTAAGGTTATATTAATAATTAGAGGGGGGAAGCCATAGGCTATACAGTCTAAAATAAGATAATTCATAATAAGGAATATAAAAGGTTTAAAGGAATATAAAAGGGTGATATAGGGGGAAAAAATAGTAATCCTTTAACTAAAGTAGTGTTAGAAAAACTAATGGCAGAAGTTAGTACACCTTTCTCACATACGGATTCAGCAAAAAGTACAGCTTAGGGATGTTTATCCTCTGCTTCCGGTGATCATCCAGGAGGGTGATTGTTGCATCAGAGATGAAGATGAATAATAGATAGAGGACAAGCAGAAACGACGATGAAGATGAATCAAAACTCCAGAAGTTAGGAAATGAGATGTCTGGAAGAGAAGAGGGAGGTTAAGGAGGATGGAACTTAAAGAAGATGAGGATGATGAAGATGAGTGATGATGAAGAGGTCATGGGTGGATATGACTCTGTGATCAGAAGGAAGTTGGCAAGAGAGGAAAGAAGAAGGATACTAGAGATTTGATCTCTGATGGAAGTTGAAGGAAGAAGGATACACGAGATTTGATCTCGGATGAAAGCAAAGATGAAGAAAGCGATGAAGATTTGGAGATTAAGGGTGCTTTATGTTCAAGAGGATTTTATCCTACAATGACTAGCAAAGAAGAAATAGATATATAGACCGATGTTTATCATGCCTGGATAAAGCAAATAGTTTAGAAGAAGTAACACAGCTGAAGATACAGAAGAGGAGAAACTGCTGAGAGGATCCCAAGAATTGGAGAAGAAGAAAGAACAGGACGAAGAAACTCTGAGAACTCAATCATACAACGGGTGGAGAAGAGAAGCTTTGGTTATGAAGAATCAGAATGAACCAAATCAACAATCACTGCTACAGCTTCAACTGAACAATATTAAATGCAATTGTACCAGCCAAGGGGGGTACCAGATGTTCCATATCCACAGCCAGTTTCTGGACAGACACAGAATTGGAGAGGAAGAGGACGAGAAGAAATAGAAGGAGGAGGAAGATTTCAGCTACACTTTCAGCAACTTTCAGAAGACTGTTATAATTGTGGACAGATTGGGTACTTTACCTGTGATGAAAATGCGTCAGGAGGAAACAACAGAGGAAGATAAAGGAGCAAGTGAAGATCACCTGTTAGTGCCTAGAAGATCCGGAAGGGGGGTATCAGCTGAGAGCATCGATTAGAGAAGAAGAGAAAATAGCTAACAATTGAAGTAAAAACAACCGACCATTAGAAGTGATGGTGAATAGTGGAAAAACTTATCTGGGTTCAGCCTAAAGAGGTTAAACATATCACTATGTAAAATTAACTAATTAGGATAGGGATTTGAGGTAGTAAAACAGTTAATTACTCTTAAGATACTAATATTAGAAGATACTGTTATTGCAGTATTGGAAAGAGATGCATTGTTTATTCTGGGTTACATTCTTACACTAAGGGATTTCAGGCTAGGCTAAAAGGTGTTTAGTTTGCCAAGTCTGTGTGTAAAGAAGTCAAAAACAGGTGGGGACTTTTCCAATCACATAGTCTACATTTGGTGGTAAAGGGATTTTGTGAATAAATCAGTGGAAAAAGTTTAAAGGTTAGGAGGAAAAGATTAGATTAAAATAAGTTAGGAGAACTAGGTTGAAGGAACTCTAAGACAGTAAGCTAAGTTTCAAAGTTAGTAGTAAGAGAGAGAACAATGGTGAATGACACTTTAGAGTAGGAAGATCAAGGTAATTATAGGTGTATTTTTTATAATCAAAAGTTTGAAAGTCAGGGATTAGAGAAAGGACTGAGATTTGGGGAAAAAGTGACACTAGTGGTGATAGATGGAAGTACAAGCAAAGACAACTTTTCTTTGGGGAAAAACTAGAAGTAACTAAGGACATTAACACTTCAGTCTATTATAACAACAGTGAGAAGCAAGTTAACTCTTTCAACATTGATAGTTATTAAAGCCATAAATATATCGCATTTGATTATAAGAGAACCAATAGCTCCAGCACCCATTTTAGGGGAACGCTGTTTTTAGGGTTAGGATGGGGACGTTTCTCCCACATGGAGAGATAATTATGGAGAAGAAGTATACTTATCTAGTGCAAGCATTAGAATTTGTTCTGGTTAAGAATTATTGGTTAAAAGGCTATGTAATTCATAAAGTAACGCTTATGGTGGAAGATTTGAAATCTGTTGAAGTTCCACAGTCATTGAGGGAGTTCAGGAGGAGTAGGTTACAGTAGCCACTCCAACAGTAGATAATACACAGAGGATAACGGGAACTTTCGCACTAGAAGTAATTAAGGTTAATACACCAACTACTTTAATGGTAACTTTGGAAGGGATTAATGATACGATGGCAATAGCAAACGTAGGAAGTATGACACTGACAACAACTTTTCTGAAATTAAAGGGGGTAGCAAGACGAATAGGGTTAAAATAGGAGAACAGATAGTAGTAGAGAGAATAGTGATACTATCATGGAGGACAGAATGAGGTCTTTGATTTTAATGACAGACAAGGAGAGGTATCTGATCAGTACCGCTCGTTAGGGGAGAGAGAAACTAAAGGGAGTGGTTTGATTCTTCTGTTGTGAAAGTTAGAGATAGATGGGCAGGTTCCAGCAGCTCATTCTGTAAGATCAGTGAGGAATCTTGAGGGTCCATGTCTGGTGAGAATTCCAGCAACAAACATGTTAGAGACGGTCGTTCGACCTCTATCAAGTATGTGTCAATCTTATGCGTTGTCATGACTGTTGTATCAGCAACAGTCAGTAACAGATAAAATAATGTCGTTGTCAAAACATTTGTTTAAGTCTAGGGTTAGGTGGTATTGGGTTAAGTGAATTAACTTGGGTGCATTTGTTAGATGGAAAGTAAAATCAGGTAACAGCGTAACTGAAGCATTTGAGGTGTAACCATTGAGGGCTAAAAGTTGTTTGGTTCTAATAAAACATATGAGGTAAGGGGTATGTTTATGGGAATATCAGATTGTGATGATTATATGATGACTTTGGATAAGCATGAACATAAGGTTAGAGATGACAAATATAATGTAATTTTTATGTACCAGTTAGTAGGAACAGCAGGACTTTGATGGTTGAAAGATTAGCTTTTGCCTGACAATGTGACTATGGGGAATTTTAGAGATATTTGGAGGGTTTGTGGTGATAAAGCATATATATTCTTACACTATGGATAGACAGGATGTTGTTACATGTCAACGTTGAAGCTTCCATATGAGGTTTTTACCATTATAAGAGGGATAGCACCAGACACAGCTAAATCTAGGGTTAAAAGGGTGACATGGCTACATGTCATAGTCTTCAAGCCTATCATTGAAGGATAAATCTAAGGGAGAAGGGGGGACTTTTTCCATGGTATGGTGTAACATTTGGAAAGATCCTATTGATAATATTAGGTATACTTTGAGTCCAGATAGTTCGATAATGTCACGAGTGTTATATATGCATTTAAGAATATAAGGGATGTGTTTGGGAGATCTGAGAAGATTTGGTTGCAAGATCAGGTAGGCCAGTAGGGGCAGTGATGGGTTACATTTAATGGCAACTTTGATAACACTGTGTGATGTTTGTAATTTGTTACTGATCTTTGAGAAAGCTATGATATTGAGATAGGTTGGAGAGTGAGGCCTGGAGACAACACTCAGATGCCGGTGTTGACTGTTCCTGATCTGGATAAAGATGGACAAGTGGAACTGATGGATAAATATCATTTTTGATTATTTGATCATTTTTCAAAATTTTTTTCAATATTAGGGTGATGTTGGTATGATTTATGAATCAAAGGGGGGAATGGGTTTATGTGATTCATGCATCATTTATATATCATTTCTATATTCTTAGGTGATATTGATGTTCAATTTGAAAGTGTTTGTTTTGCAAAAGATACTGTTTGGTTTTTTCTTTTCTTCCAGAAGCATTTGGGGGAACATGTGGAGATTGAAATACTCAAAACAGGGACAATATGAAGGGACAATATGACTGGAGGAGATGAAACAAGGAGGGTGTGGCCGATTCCATCATCAACAGTCCATTGGAAGAGGAGACTACGGGGAGATGAAGTGTAGTGGACTACATTCCAGTGTCTGCAATGAAATATAGACATGTGTAATACATAATTGTGTCATATTCGTAGGTATTAATTTTTTGTAGAATGATGTTTGATGTTATTGAATACATGTGAGGATCTTAGATGTTTTTGTTTATTTCGGTGATGTTTAGGGACAGGAAATTTAGGCAGGGAGAGGTTCACTGTACGGTCCAATGGGTTGACCAGCCTTACAAGTGGATGTTTTTGGATAGGATTTTGTTTGCAGGGGCTTACATGTGTATTTAATTGCATCATACTTTCAAATGCATTTACATGGGTTATGAGTTTATCTGGAGTACCGAAGGTGGTTGCCTGGGGCAGAGGGACCGTGAGAGAATTTTACTGTCTTGATTGATGGATGGAAGGTTGCCGGACAGTTTTTCGCTCTTACACTCCATAGAGATTTGTTCATATTTCATAGTAATGTATTTACACTTCATAAAGATAGTAATGTATTCACACTTCATAAACAGTTATTCATATTTCATAGAAAGGTATTTACACTCTAGAGGAGAATGTTTTTGGTTTAATGTTAAACCTACTCAATAAGATAAATTGTTACTAGTCATAATCCTATTCTGTTTGTTTTCGAGACGTTTAGTTCGTCTCGAAGGGGGGAATATCGTATATGAAGATTATGTCTTTGTTAAATGTTTTTCATGAAGAAATGGAATGTTGTTTATGTTAGTATATGTTTTAGTGTAACGTCACATACCACAGACCGGAAGTGTGTTGTAGACAGGGGAGACTGGGGATTGGCCAGAAGAGGGAGCATCATTGTTATAAATAGGGGGGAAAACGAAGAAGAAAGTCAGAACGAGCAGCCATTCTGAGGCGTCACTCTCCGGGTGTCATGTCACCTGTAACTTATGCTGTAACCTCGTGATTTTAATAAAAGCCTCTAACACGATGCAGCATAAACGGACTCTTTGTTGACAGCAATAACTGGCCACCACTCATCCGATACGACACTGGCCCTGGATGTTGATCTTGGGTCAGTTTTAGATTGTCCCAACGAATAGTTAAGGTTAGGATTAGGGGGAGGAGAAGCTGGTCCTAGATCTGTACTTATAGGGGAAACTTCAGCCCAGAGCATAGAAGTAGAAATAGAGTGCAGTCTCCTCACTCGAGCTTCTAGGCCAGCCTGGCCATCACTCTGGCTTTCTGCTTCTTCAGCTTATTCTTGAGGAAGAGGAGGTCGATGTAGACTATGTCGTCCAAGACCATGGAGGCACACAGTAGACCGCCGTGCAACGCTCCTGCTATCCCACAGCTGAACACATCCTGCCCTGGAAAAGGTACATCCACACACACCATATAAGATGTGGCAAAGATGGCCTTAAGACATGCAAGCTCCCTCACATACTAAAACATTACAATCAGACAACAGTTTATAACTGTGAATAGTCTTTACAACATACTAAAACATTACAATCAGACAAGAGTTTGTAACTGTGAATAGTCTTTACAACATACTAAAACATTACAATCAGACAAGAGTTTGTAACTGTGAATAGTCTTTACAACGTGACTATTTAACTCGATAGACTTTACAACATGTGACTATTTAACCCAATAGTCTTTACAGCACGGGACTATTTTACTCAATAGTCTTTACAGCATGTGACTATATAACTATAGACTTTACAACATGTGACTATATAACTATAGACTTTACAACATGTGACTATATAACTTTATAGACTTTACAACATGTGACTATATAACTCAATAGACTTTACGGCTAATGCACATTTCATCTCACTTTATAGATTATATCATCCTTAGGAGAAGCATTAGAGGAGAAGCTCCAGGAGTGTAACCTGAGATTAAAAGCTTTTTGACAGGGGTGGAGCAGCGGTTCCTGGCACTGTCCTCAGCATGGAAGAGGTCCAGGTTGTGCTCAGTAGAGTACATGGCCCCGCGCTGGGCTCCCAAGTAGTGCATGTTAGTTAGGGGGGGTCACAACGTCCTGGAACACTAACTGGAGAACAGAGCATAGAGACAGTTTCAATAGTTAATTGACTGCTAATTGATTCATTGAATTAACATGGATTCATCTCTAAACCTCTACAAACTCCCAAACACAGAGCGAGTGAGAGAGAGCGAGAGCGAGAGATTCAATATACACTATGTTAGTTTGTTCATAACTTTTCTCTCAGCTTGGGGAAAAGGGTGCATGCCCAGTCAAAGAATGACATTTTGTAGTCATCTCCCCATTCATCTCCCCATTTCCTTACTGAGGTAGTATCCTTCCATTCCTCAAACAACTCATATTTCACCATGGTCAAAATCATCATGCATGATTTCTCTGGAATGTAACATGGTATATACAGTACATCAGACAAAGAAGTACACACCATTTGACTACATTATCTTTGATATTCAGTGGTACAGTATCCTACCTGGGTGTCTCATTTTGGCTATAGGATCTTTGGCAGAGGGGAAGGTGATGAACATCATGGGGATGTTATCAGGTTCATCCTCTTTACTCATGGCAAAGAACCCTTCCATCCTACACAAAACAACAAGGCTGTAAACATCTGAAGAATGCTGGAGTGATGATGCATCAATAAACTAGTCTCCATAAAAAACGGTCATATATAACTGTAGGCTATATATGGATGCCATAGTAACTGCTTGTATTCATTGTTTATGCAGCAGCGCCACCTTGTGAGTACAGAGAGCGATATCATCTCATTTCAATGTTGAAAGAGCACTCGGTGCCTTGTACTTAGGAGCCATCCATATTACTATGAAGAAGAAGCTGGTGGCGACCATACCCAGCTCCTCTTGGGTTCCATGACAGCCAGAGATAATGATCCTCTGCCGTGTTTCATCATGTCAGACGTTTCTGGATGTCTGTTAGGAAGAAAGTGTTTTACCATCAACCAATAGCCAGTGGTGTAAAGTACTTAAGTAACAATACTTTAAAGTACTACTTAAGTAGTTTTTTGGGGTATCTGTACTTTACTATTTATATTTTTGACAACTTTTACTTTTACTTCACTACATTCCTGAGGAAAATAATGTACTTTTGAATTCCTACATTTTCCCTGACACCCAAAAGTGCTCGTTACATTTTGAATGCTTAGCAGGACAGGAAAATGGTCCAATTCACGCACTTATCAAGAGAACATCCCTGTTCATCCCTACTGCCTCTGATCTAGTGGACTTTCTAAACACATATGCTTCACTTGTAAATGATGTCTGAGTGTTGGAGTGTGCCACTAGCTATTTGTAAATTTAAAAAACAAGAAAATGGTGCTGTCTGGTTTGCTTAATATAAGGAATTTGAACTTATTTATACTTTTACTTTTGATGTACTTTTACTTTTGATACTTAAGTATATTTTTGCAATTACATTTAGTTTTGATACTTAAGTAGATTTAAAACCAAATACTTTTAGACTTTTACTCATGTAGTATTTTACTGGGTGACTTTCACTTTTACTTGAGTCATTTTCTATTAAGGTATCTTTACTTTTATTCAAGTATGATAATTGTGTACTTTTCCCTCAACTGCCCATAGCAAGACTTGACAATAGCAAGACAGAACACCATAAGGCAACACAGATCGATTGATCGATCAGTCAGTTGATTGATTGAGATCCTACATGTTGTTAGTTTGTCAGTGTGACTCACCTGGCTTGGTCTGGATCTGAGGGGGCAGTAGTTTCTGGAAGGTGGTGAACAGACCGCAGTTGGAGATGATCACAGGAGCATGTACCTCCACCTCCTCCTGTCCCTTCCTCACCTTCACACCTGGCAATGGAAACAAACAGGATCTGACTCAGAAATACATTGTATGCCTTTGAAATATCAACATGATCTCATCACAGGACAAGCTTCTTTAAGTCCTCATAATTCTTGCATGAGGAAATAAGCGATGTAATACTTACTCTCCCAGCACAACAAGGGGAGACTGTGTTGACTGTGTGTGTCATTTGTCTGTGGGCTGTTATTATAGAGTTTTCACATCTGGCCTATCATTCAGGGACTGAATCAATGCAATACGACTCTGTTTGTCCATTGTGAAAAGGATATGGACCATACCTGGATTCTCACCATATGCAGCCCCGTCCTTGTTGACCAGAATCTGGGTGATAGGTGGTCTGACCAGGATGTTGCCTCCAGACTTCTGGATGACAGGGATGATGTGGTAGGAGATCTCCTCCTTTAGGGTAGTATCTCTCTTGTCGTGGTGCAACAGAAGAGCATTGATCACAACACTGGAGTCCTTGGGTGGAACACCTTGAGGGGAAACAGAAAATAAATAATAAGCTAAACAACCAGCTAAATCTATGACGTTAAAATGCCTATTTACTCTGTTCCATCTGACTGCGCAATCCACTGTCTCATCAGCCCAGCCAGGCACTTTATGAACTTTATCTCCACTATAAAAAGCATCTAGACATTATCTCACATTTCTTTTAGACAAACATTTAGTTTTCAACAGGGGAGATTTGTATAAACCTTGCTGTCTGTCTCTCCAAAATTTACAACATTGTTTCAATATTCAAATTTGATCTCCAGCTGTCGCATAGTAATGAGTGTGTTGGGAGTCGGGACGAGACAGACAGGCAGGCAGCTTTTCTCAGCCAGTCGAAATCATGAATCAGCATAATTTGTATGTATATATACAAAGAAATATCAATAGAAAACAGGTAAAACGAAACGAAGTGCTAGTTTGCAGTCTTTCCAGCTTCAGTTTGAAGTGATTGTGTTAGCTGTGTTGTTGGCTAGCTCCTCTGTACAACAGTGTCCTGACGAGAGAGCACATTTTCTACGGCAGGTGAAATTGCGCATCATTAGCTCATTGTTATGGATGTATCCAAATAAATGTAACTAGAAAACAGCTTAAACAAATGCAAATGCAGCTACTTTGTTGTTATTCTGGCTGCACTGATTGACGTGACTGTTTGTTAGCCGTAGTTGGCTAGCTAGCAAGCAAGGGATAAAGGGATAAGAACTTTGCCAGCCAGTATTACAATGGAACATTTAGAACGAACGACTGGGTCGCGTCCATAGATACAGAACAAAAAGACTGAACGACTGGGTCGCGTCTCTGGCAACAGAACCGATATAATGAACGACCATCCGGCTTGGGAAGCAACCCAAGATTTGTGACGGGACTACAGCGCATTCGGAAAGTATTCAGACCCCTTGACTTTTTTCACATTTTGTTACGTTACAGCCTTATTCTAAAATGGATTTTTTTTATACTCATCAAGCTACACACATTATGACAATGCAAAAACAGGTTTTCAGAAATTTATACAAAATCTGAAATCTGAAATATCACATTTACATAACTATTCAGACCCTTTACTCAGGACTTTGTTGAAGCACCTTTGGCAGTGATTACAGCCTTGAGTCTTCTTGGGTATGACGCTACAAACTTGGCACACCTGTATTTGGGGAGTTTCTCCCATTCTTCTGTGCAGATCCTCTCAAGCTCTGTCAGGTTGGATGGGGAGCATCGCTGCACAGCTATTTTCAGGTCTCTCCAGAGATGTTCGATCGGGTTCAAGTCCGGGCTCTGGCTGGGCCACTCAAGGACATTCACTTGTCCCAAAGCCACTCCTGCGTTGTCTTGGCTGTGTGCTTAGGGTCAATGGGCCTCATTCACCAATATCTACCTAAGAATTTTCTAAACTTTGTTCTTAATAAACTCCCTAAGAAAAGTCTACATCGGATTCATGACATGTTCTTAAACAACAGAATTGTTCGCACCTGTGTTCTTAGGATTGATGAATCCCACGTCTTCGTAATTGAAAGCGTGTGCCAGTTGTTCCTAATTAGCATAAGAAAACGCCCCGCAAATTCCCATATAAGGACATGACACTTCAGGGCCGTGTGCAAGAAAAGTTGGAGAATGTCCAAAAGACGCACAGACGGTGGTGGTCCACCGATCACCAAACGAAAAAGGAACTTCAGTAATTCTGAAATAGAAATGCTACTGCAACAGGTAAATGCCAAACGAGGCATAATATTTAGTAGTGTTTCCAGTGGTTTTAAAGCCACCAACAAAACGGAGGCATGGAAGGATATCACAGATTCCGTGAACTCTGTTTCTGGACAACGTCGCCCAATTGAAGATTGACTTAAAATCAGAGACCAAAAAATCCATTGGCAAACATAAGAGACATATGCTGACCACTGGAGGGGGGCATGCAGGCCCTGAGTTATCTGAGATTGACCAACGCATCGGGGCCATTATTGGTGAGACGGCACTCTCAGATGTGCCATCAGCTGAGCAACTGGACACTGACCAGGGCCCTATATCAACAGCTTCATATCCTCCAAGGCCATCTCCCACCAGTGAATCAGACGGTAAGCAAGTCTTTCTGAATGTATACAATTTCATCCCATAATTTAACTGAAATCAACGGTGAATCCATTGGAAAGGAATTTTACACCAGTTTGTGAAACCAAATGTGGGCCTATGAGACTGTGAATGAGTCATCACCTGAATTCCTAGTTTATTCAGTTTGAAATCATATTGCTTTTGCAGTAGGCCTATAATTAACAAACTGAAACATCAACAACAACAAAAAAATCTGTGCACTGTGACTGTTTCACTTTCAGTATCGTTTTTGTTATTTACAGATCTCCAATCCAGGCAACCCCTCTGTGAAGAGGAACCTGACACCATTCGGCCTTCCTGCAGTAGGCCTGCCTCTGTATGTGCCCCCAGGTCCCGTCCAACTGCACGTGTCATCTCCGATGCGGTCTTGGATAACCATTCTCTGTGAAATCGCTTCAACTCTGGCCACAATATCAGAAACACTCAAAAACATAAACACACATTTAAAAATATAAAGAACGCGCACTGAAACCTGTGTCATTTCATGTGTTTAATTTGTGGTATTTAAAGGACAAAACAAATCAAAAACGAGAAATTATTTGTTGTCTGACTTCCACGCCAAGTCGGTTGTCTGGTCCCAGCAATGGGTCAGGACGCACATCCTGGTGTGGTGGCTGAAGTGGAAGTGGAACACATTTACATTTACATTTTCGTCATTTAGCAGATGCTCTTATCCAGAGCGACTTACAAATTGGTGCATTCACCTTATGATAGCCAGTGGGACAACCACTTTACCATTTATTTATTTTTTGGGTGGGGTAAGGGGGGGGTAGAAGGATGACTTTATCCTATCCCAGGTATTCCTTAAAGAGGTGGGGTTTCAAGTGTCTCCGGAAGGTGGTGAGTGACTCCGCTGTCCTGGCGTCGTGAGGGAGCTTGTTTCACCATTGGGGTGCCAGAGCAGCGAACAGTTTTGACTGGGCTGAGCGGGAACTGTGCTTCCGCAGAAGTAGGGGGGCCAGCAGGCCAGAGGTGGATGAACGCAATGCCCTCGTTTGGGTGTAGGGACTGATCAGAGCTGGAAGCCAGTGGAGTGTGCGGAGGAGCGGGGTGACGTGAGAGAACTTGGGAAGGTTGAACACCAGACGGGCTGCGGCGTTCTGGATGAGTTGTAGGGGTTTCATGGCACAGGCAGGGAGCCCAGCCAACAGCGAGTTGCAGTAATCCAGACAGGAGATGACAAGTGCCTGGATTAGGACCTGTGCCGCTTCCTGTGTAAGGCAGGGTCGTACTCTCCGAATGTTGTAGAGCATGAACTTACAGGATCGGGTCACCGCCTTGATGTTAGCGGAGAACGACACCACGCTTTATAGCAATGTTGTGTAACACACAACAGGCCATGATTATTCTGCAAACCTAAAAACTGTGTAAAGATGATCAAAAGCTAGAAAAACTAAATAAAATGAATTGTTGGTATTAGATTATTCTACAACATGTTCTCCATTTTTCAAACCTGAATAAAACAAGTAGTCCTACTCACCTTCTCTGGCTTGTAAAGCAGCTTACCACCTGCTGTGTCCAAACACATCCAGCGTCCCTTCAGAATACCAATGGTTCGCTCAATGGTGGAGCGGGTGTGTGCTTGTCTCTGGTTATAAGAGGCCTCTTGGTGCGTCTGAGGGTTTGTGAGTGACGTCATTAGCTAGTGCTCAAGGGCATACTCCCGATCTCCTAATGAAACAAGTCATTAATGAAGAAACCCACTTTTTGAAACCAACAATTGGAAATTGAAATTACTGAACGATGCTTACCAATGAGCCATGCGTCTCCAGTAGCTCCTTGTTCCAGGCGCATTCCCACAGAACTGTACTGCAAAATATAAGAGTCATGTGCACCTCCTGGGAAGCGGGAGACCACGTTCAAGAGATTGTTGTCGGAGTCGCAGATGACTTGTACATTGATTGAGTGATATTGCTTGCGGTTGAGGTATGGGAATGGGTCTGGTGAGGGTGCCTTAATGCGCACGTGAGTGCAGTCTATTGCCCCGATTACGTTGTGCAGACCCGCAATTGAGTAGAACCCTCTCTTGACCGGCAGCTGTTGTTGCGCTGTGTAGGGGAAGAAAATATATTGTGTGGCCAGTTGATTTATTCCATCCACAACTCGTGGGAGAGCGCGGCTGATGGATGGCTGTGATATGCCCACCCCCGTCTGCTAACTCCCGCTGAAATGTCCCAGTGGCTAAAAATCCCAAGGTGGAGAGTACCTGCACATGAGGTGGTACTGGAGTGGACCGTTGGGTATGGCTTCGCAGCGCTGGCTCCAAAGTATCACAGAGCTCCATTCAAACGTGTCTTGGAAGCCTAAACCGTCCGATCAAGTACTCGTCAGTCTCTGCAAATAAATCAACGTGATCCTCAAAGATGTGTTCCCTTCTCAGAGCACGCTCGGCAATGTCGTCAAGCAGAAATGCCATTTTGATAGCATGCCTGATGTGCAGAAACAGGCCCATTTTGGCCCTATAAATAGCGCGATCAATCACTACATAATGCAGGATTTAATCATCTTAATTGCTGATGTAAATTGCAGTGTTAGTGTTTCTTTGCATACTATGATTTTTTTTTCAACAAATGATCAGAAATACATTACAGTAAAATACTATAATTGTAAACGACTGTAGAATTAAATGAAATGCAGTAACCAATTATTTGGAGCAAACTGTCATCACTCAAATGTGCGTGAGAATGCTCTTGAGTGAGCGTGGATTTTGTTCTTAGCTAAGAACAAATCCAAGATGAGAAAACAGTGAATGTCAGAATCTTCGTAAAAGGTGCATAAGTGGGGTTTAAGAACACATTACTTCGTAAGAACGATTGGTGAATTAGGCCCATTGTCCTGTTGGAAGGTGAACCTTCGCCCCAGTCTGAGGTCCTGAGAGCTCTGGAGCAGGTTTTCATCAAGGATCTCTCTGTACTTTGCTCCGTTCATCTTTCCCTAGATCCTGACTAGTCTCCCAGTCCCTGCAGCTGAAAAACATCCCCACAGCATGATGCTGCCACAACCATGCTTCACTGTATGGATGGCGCCAGGTTTCCTCCAGACGTGACACTTGGCATTGAGGCCAAAGAGTTCAATCTTGGTTTCATCAGACCAGAGAATCTTGTTTCTCATGGTCTGAGAGTCTTTAGGTGCCTTTTGGCAAACTCCAAGCGGGCTGTCATGTGCCTTTTAATGAGGAGTGGCTTCCGTCTGGCCACTCTACCATAAAGGCCTGATTGGTGGAGTGCTGCAGAGATGGTTGTCCTTCTGGAAGGTTCTCCTATCTCCACAGAGGAACTCTGGAGCTCTGTCAGAGTGACCATCGGGTTCTTGGTCACCTCCCTGACCAAGGCCCTTCTCCCCCGATTGCTCAGTTTGGCCGGGCGGCCAGCTCTAGGAAGAGTCTTGGTGGTTCCAATCTTCTTCCATTTAAGAATGATGGAGGCCACTGTGTTCTTGGGACCTTCAATGCTGCAGAAATCTTTTGGTACACTTTCCCAGATCTCTGCCTCGACACAATCCTGTCTCGGAGCTCTACGGACAATTCCTTCGACCTCTGACATGCACTGTCAACTGTGGGACCTTATATAGACAGCTGTGTGCCTTTCCAAATCATATCCGATCAATTGAATTTACCACAGGTGGACTCCAATCAAAATTGTAGAAACATCTCAAGGATGATCATTGGAAACAGGATGCACCTGAGCTCAATTTCGAGTCTAATAGCAAAGGGTCTGAATACTTAAATAAGGTATTTCTGTTTTTTTGTTTTAATACATTTGCAAAAATGTCTAAAAAACGGTTTTTGCTTTGTCATTAGGGGGTGCTGTGTGTAGATTGATGTGAAAAAGATAATAATGTAATCAATTTTAGAATAAGGCTGTAACGTAACAAAATGTGGAAAAATTCAAGGGGTCTGAATATTTACGGAATGCACTGTATATCTTGTGGAAGGATGAAATAGTATGAATAAATTCATCAAAATAACGTTTTCAATTAAAATATGTAAATCATTATTTTAATATGTCGGTAACCCGTTACTGTGATAAAAGTGATAATGACCTCAGAGTCGTTGTTTGGAGGATATATTGGCATGGTTTGCCCCACCCATGCCAATATATCCTCCAAACACCAGCTTCTCTGGCATTATCACTTAAATATAATCTAGAATGTTAAGTCTACCTACCGTAGAAGAGGTAGCTGAAGATGATGTGAAGGTGGTCAAGGTGTTGGTGGTCAAAGTGCTGACCAGGTCTGTAGCTCCAGTACCAGAAAGTTGGCGATGCCAGACTTCAGCAGGAACAGAGCCAGTCAATGGGGGATCAGCTTCAGAGAGGCCAGGTAGTGGGGGACCAGCTTCAGAGAGGCCAGGTAATGGGTCTTCATGATACAGAAGGACATTTGAGGAAAAAGCATCAGTTAATATACTGTAGCGAAGTCAGAGGGTAATCCCAACCAGGGCTTGAACCTTTGACCTTGGGACTGTCAACCAAACACCTCAGCTGTTACCCCAAGAGATCCAAATGTCTTGATGAGGTTGCTAGGTGATGGCTTGAGGTGACTACAATACTGTTGATCCTCATTTGATCACATTAGTGATCTCATGACCAACAAAGCCCCCTGCAGAAATAAATAAAGTGCCTTCATGATATTAAAAAAAGTTTTGATGGTAGCAACGTCATCTGGGAACTGCTTCTTCAGGTGAGCCTCCATCTCTGTCTTGCAGATGCTGTACTCATGTTTCTCCTCACCAATCTGGGTGGTGTCAAAGTGCTGGTCCAGCTTCACAAACTCCAGCTGGCCCTTTGGTGATCTGGTCGAAGGCAATACTCAGCAGACTGTTTATCCCCCCCCCCCCAGCTTTGAACAGTAACACATTCCATATCAATATTGTGATTTAACATGGAAATGTTATACATACATTGTGGGACACAGAGCAGACACAGTCACACATGCCCAATTCTGCAAACTCAGAGCTTTACCGTACCTTGTTTGTTCACTTTGTCCCTCTTCCTTTGGTCAAACTCCCGGGGTTCCGGAGGCCTCACTGAATCCAGAGAAAAAGGGCTTGGATTGCCGAAAAGATACCAGTACGTCCCACCAGCCCATATCACGAACCAAGCTACAAGTGTCAATAGCCACATGATGAAGATGACCCAGAGCAGTCAAGCACTGAATTCCCTGTCTGTCAATAAGGCCGAGGAAGGAGAGTTGACAGAAGAGTCTTGATGATTCTGAAACAACTACCATCTGCAGGCCCCTTTTATTGAAGGTAGTGCTAAAGGTCTGAGTTGGAAAGTGATAGGCAAATTAGTTTTTGCAACACTTTATTATCTTGTTATGAGTATGACTGGCAATAAACAGAGAGGTGTGAAAGACCCTGTGGTGCAGCAGGGCTGCCACACCTCCCCTCAACACCAAGCCTAGTCAGCACCAGGAATGCTGGGTAACAAGCTCCAGTTGAACACTGTTCCCTTAACTGTGTTTGCACTGCGCTTGATGTGGCAAATTCGTCCTTATACAGATCAAAGAACCAAAGTATTTCAGAGTTTTTGTAGAATTAAGATAGACTGTATTACAACAGACAAAGCCGAAGTGGTTTGCAAAGCATCTCCCTCCCAACTCCCAGCGCTCAGTTTATATAGTCATTTCACATACATTTTAGCTTAACCCCTCCCTCTTGGGTTCCCCCACCACTGTCTCCAGTTTCCACCTCTTGACCGCTCCACCCACTTCCTTAGTTTATGATAGTGGCGAAATCTGACTTCTCCTCTCTGTATTCAGTTTGGAAACAATGGTGGTGCAATTAATCAAGCCCTGTAATGCAAAAAGAATCATGTTCAGTTTGAACTCTGTTCAACCCCGGCTCACCCTGGCTTGACCTGGAGATTGACTGTTGGACATGGCAGGTCCACAATCAATCTCTCAAACATACCCAAGCCCAACCCCTCTCTCCCCTCCCGTCATGCTGTAATTAATCAAGTAGACGCCCAAGGAGAGACAAAGGGTTTAGCCTGAACTCTGTTCAACCCTGACTCCATTCCCTTAATATGCCTTAGAATAGAGGCAAAGGATAACACTCTGGTTTCAGTCACTGATAAATCAGGACAGCCTTGGATTAGGTAAGAGAGAGGAATTTGACCCGAGGTCAGATCCCCATTTCACACACACACAAACCCTGTGAGAGGAACCAATTAAGTTCTTGCCTAGCAACAGAGATGTACCCATGTTTAACCCTGGCTCCATGTTCGTCATGTTGTGATTAACTTTGTTTATCTAAATGAAAAATCCTCATCATTCCCCCCTTTGGGATTTAATAGTCCCATATCAATACATCCAAATACTTCAAATGTATATAGTGACTAATATGTGAATACTGTGACATATAAATCTACATGTTCATGATATAAGGCACAATCCTTGCATTAACATCATAGATTCAAATGTTTTTACTAGAAATAAACCATATACATGTATCCTAACACATTAAAACTAACGTAGCATTGTTTTAACCATAATATCTATTTAAGGCAGTTATCTTGCGATTGTATACGCAATACCAGGGCATGTTTGAGAATACTGTCAACATCTTTAGCTCACATAACTTCTTTACCCATATCACAAGTAGTATAACAATCAAAATAATCAATATCAATATCTAATACATTAATTGCAGTGTCAACATCTTTAGCTATTAACGTATTAATGACGTACTCAAATCAATCAGTCAGCTTACAACTCATAATCAAATTAATTATCTAAAACAAATTTAGAATGACAATTCTTAGTGATTCACATTGGTCCTATCACTCAAAGTTAAAACCCTCAACTTAGCACCCCATTGACACTGGAAGAATGTACATTTTATATTAACATACAGTATAATTATCCATAATTGTAGCATTAGCGTCCCCATAAGGAGAATAACCACAGATAAGTATCTCAATGCATTCTTAGTCTAAATTACTATAGATTTAGCAGTGTGTAGACCTCCTTAATCAACCTGATACCCCAAATAACAACCCGTTCCTTCCCCGGCACTCAATCTTCTGGCATCTCTTCATTATATTATTCAGATAGCTTCATAGTTCAACTTGGATTGCCCATGACAATGTCCCAATTTCAATGTCTCACCTGAGCCTCCACCACCTCTACCCCCATTATGTTTTGTCCATTTGCCAACCAGTATACCAGCATCATGAGATATGTTGTATTTTAACAGATCTCTCTTTATGCCCACTCCACATGGACTCCTGTCACACTCCTGAGAGAAAAGCCAAGAGAGAAAAGGCTGTTGATAGCTTCGATTGGATGCTGGTTCTGATTCAGGTCTCCTGGTAGAAGTGGTGCTGGACAGGACCCTATTCAACGCTGTTGTTGCTCCTCTTCAGAGTATTTTTTAAATTGAGGTTCACACCGTTCTTGACTAAATTATCCCTGCTATGCATCAAGACACCATCTGTAGTAACCTTGAGAGAGGTCAGTTCATAATAGTTTAGTTGAGTTAATTTCCAATCCAATAAATCCATATAAGCATTGACTATATGACAAATTATTATGTTTTACCAATTATTCTTAATACCAATTTCTAATATACTCCCCTTATCACTATGTCGACTTCACCGCAGAGTCACAGGATCAGCAAGTTAGATATCAATTTCTGTTAGGCGAACTAGACAAAGACAGAGAAATCAATGGTGGGGAAGTCAGGTGCGTCTTGAATGTCTGGAAGATCTTGAAATTCTTGGAGGTCTTGTATGATCTTGGATGTCTTGGATGTTCTTGGAGGTCTGTCCCGCCGCCGAGGGAATCAGCCAGAGCACGTAGCTCATCAGTAGCATTCCCATTGCCATACTCCCCATCTCCTGATTCTGGCTAGCTCCAGAATCCTCAGCTCCGTCATCTCTAGGTCGTCGGTTTCCTCGTGGTACTCTGGTGCAGTGGTTTAGATGATAACAGGTCGAGCTCCCCTCTATCCGTACAGCCGTCGGTGCAGCCTGGGTGACGATGTATGGTCTCTTTGGCTCGGGACCTTCTTCCGTCACTAGGGTCTCCGGATCATGCAGAGTCCCTCTCAATCCATCGACATCGGTCTGCGAAGAGTGTCCTTCTGGCAGCGTACCAATAGGGAAGCTCAGAGTCACTACTGCAAAGACACAGACAGACACAAAAGAAGACAATGCTACCCAATGGCGGGGCCATCTTCCTCTTCTGGGGTTGAAACTCTCCTACAGTGGGACACATGGATCCAGGTATCTGTCTCTGCCACTTTCACCGTCATTGAGGTAGCCAGCAACACCTGGTACGGGCCCCTCCACCTAGGGTCTTTCCAGCTCTTTCTTCTGTGGTCTTTTACCGCCACAAAGTCTCCAGGGCGCAGACAATGCTCAGATTCTCCTGCTCGGTTGGGTAAAGAAGCCTTCACCCATGGGAAGAAAGTCTTAGAACATTGTTAGGTGAGACACAGTATGCTACTGTACCATGTCTTCTCATCAGTCAGGAGAAGCCCTGAGATTAGGAAGTGCACATACTTGCAGCTTGTTGTAGTCCACTAGTTTCAGAGACAGGCCCCCTTTGTACTTTGTCTCTGGCCACAAATATATTTGCACATTCCATCTAACCCATAACACATTAATTACTACTGCTCATATTCTTAATAAAATTTGCATATCTACCAAAATGCTCCAGGGGACCAGTAATTCCCCCCCTTTGGACACATGACTCACATCGTGATTTATGCGTAAAAAAATAAAAAATAAATAAACATTGCCTGATAAACCAAAATAATAAATGAAATTAGAATGACAACCTTTGATAATATCTTAACTTAATTGTATCCCATAAGGTAATTCATGGAAATAGTAAAATTGACAAATTTCCCTCATTCAGGACTAGCGCTCTCTCTCTGTCCTTGTCATAGTCTGAATCATATATACGACTATTAACTATAAACTTCTTCCTAATTATCAGTATTACAAATGATCCTCAACTCTGTATAATAAATTACCTTAAATTCATGATTCAATGTCTCTTCGCTTTTCAGCTTGGCGTAGTAGTGCAGTTGTGTTTTTATCGTATGTCTGTAAATAGCCTGTAAATACCCTATTTTTCTGTATTTTTCGTACATATTTCCATATCAGACTTTTCATCCTTCTACAAAATATACTTTCCTGCAACCCGCCTCACTCAATGTGGAACGGATTCTATTATTGACTTACCTTTATCTAGAATCTCCAGTTGAAACTAGCTAGCCAGCTAACTAGCATTTACATTTACATTTTAGTCATTTAGCAGACGCTCTTATCCAGAGCGACTTACAGTTAGTGAATACATTATATATATATATATTTTTTTTTTTATACTGGCCCCCCGTGGGAATCGAACCCACAACCCTGGCGTTGCAAACGCCATGCTCTATCAACTGAGCTACATCCCTGCCGGCCATTCCCTCCCCTACCCTGGACGACGCTGGGCCAATTGTGCGCCGCCCATGAGTCTCCCGGTCGCGGCCGGCTGCGACAGAGCCTGGATTCGAACCAGGATCTCTAGTGGCACAGTTAGCACTGCGATGCAGTGCCTTAGACCACTGCGCCACTCAGGCTACTTGCTATTAGCCTCAGCTAGCGGTATTTCACCCAGAACATTGGATTTTTTCTGCGGGATTAATTTTAATCACTGGACATTAATCACCGGATATTCGGCCAGTCTGCACAGCGCGTTATCGACCCAGAACATATCAGTTTTTCCGCCGGAATCACTGAATCACTGGACCTTTAACTCCGGATTCATCGCTATCAGCTAGCTACAACAAAACGGACGCTGTGGTCTGGCTAATCATCCTGAGCTAGGCCCATCTCCCGGCTATCTACCTCTCTGTCAACCGGACGGGACCACCTAGTGTTGACACGGAGCCCCGCCGATCCTACATGACTGGTCTGCCGACGAAATCGTCTGATGTGGTTACGACGTTAACCACGAAGATTCCATCCATCTGCTAGCCCCGGGCCGCTAGCACACGCTAGCCGTGGCCTCTTACTCACTAGTTTACCACCGGACCTTATGATAACTCAGCTATACAGCTGATGTCTGCTGGACTGTTCCTTTTTACGGTACTACATCCTGTTTATGTTTAGCCTCAGCCCAA